AAGCAGGATCAGGAGAAGGGGAGGTGCCATGGGACTCACAGGTATCCACGTCCTGGGGCCCAAGTCGCATACCTGACTGGGACGGTTGGTCAGTCCTCCTATGCAGCCCCGTGCTCGCTGTCCCTGAGTAACTCTGCAGGAGCGAGCAGTACCGCCAAGTGACCCCGAGGTGGACAAGCCAGCACAGGGCCACTTGTGTGAGGGAGGGGGAAAGGGAGAGAACCAGGGCTCTCACCATTGTTGAGTCTGGATTTCCCATTCTAACGTGTTAGAAGCTGCAGGATGCTGAAATCGCAAAGCTGATGGATGACCTTGACCGGAACAAGGACCAGGAGGTGAACTTCCAGGAATATGTCACTTTCCTGGGGGCCTTGGCTTTGATCTACAATGATGCCCTCAAGGGCTGAAAATAAATCAGGAAGGTGGAGACACCCTCTGTCGGTCCTAAGTCAAATCCAGTGGTGGGTAATTGTTCAATAAATACCTTTTTTGGTCAAGTTTTCCTCTGTCCTGGCTTCCTAGTGATTTGTTCCCCTCGGTGCTGCACCAGCCATCATACAGTTTGCTCATGGTCACCTCTGCAAGTGACTCAGCGATGTCCCCTGCCTGGGGCCACCCTAACAAGGCCGCTGCTAACTCATAAGGTGCCTTTACATCAATTAGAATAGGGTCTCACTCGGGGCAAAGACATCTTAAGGAAGTCCCCAGTAGAGGGTCCCCAGCAGAGGGGGTTCTGGGATGGGAGTGCCAAAGGAGATGGTTCCTGAGCCAGGCTGTGCTAGGTCCAGAGTGGGGCAGACATAGTCTGGCCGGGGTCCCTGAACACAAAGCTGTTTTGTTCTGAGTGTGCTGAGGGGAGAAGGGCCGTGGGGTTGGACCCATCCACTTTCTCACCGCGGTGAGACGGAGCAGAGGGCACATCTGGCCCAAAGCTTGGCTGGAGAGTGTTCTGAGGCCCTGGAGGACACTGTATGGCTGAGTCCACAGCAGCTGCCCGTGGCCCAGTCAGAGCTGGGGGGCCTACTTTAGGAGTCTGTCCCTGTATTTAGGTACAGGGTCCTTTGTGTTGGGGGTGGTGATCTGAGGAGCAGGTACCTGCACAGATAAATCAGGGGGTGTTCAAGAAGGAGGCAGGGTGGGGTGCTCACCAAGGGGGCAGGGTGGGGTGCTCACCAAGGGGGCAGAGTGAAGGGTGCTCACAAAGGGGGCAGGGCGGGGTGCTCACCAAGGGGGCAGGGCAGAGTGCTCAGGAAGGGGGCAGGGCGGGGGTCCCTGGGGGTGGGCCAACTGCAGGTTCAAGTCTTTCAGTCAATACTGAGCTGGCCCATCCCTGCAGCCTCAGCATAATGACTCACCCTTGGAACGCAGCCTGGCTCTCAGCCCCGTCAGGGAGGGTGACTAACTGAATGATTGAGTCCATTGTTTGCATTTGTGTTTTCAGGGTTGGGGGTTCAGGGTGAACTGTGTCTCAGTCACTGTGCTCAGCCCTCCAGGCCTAGTCTGAGCCAGGCCAGCGCCTCTGTTTTGGGCACCTCAGAGGGGGGCCATGTTCTCCTTCCTCTGTCTCTTCCCCACTTCCCTGGGGGCCCAACTTAGTGGAGTTGTCTTCCTTCTCTGTGGGGAAGCGAAGAGGGCAACTAGCCCCTCCTCTCATCGTCTCTCCTGCTTCCAGGGAGTAGGAAGTGACACTGGTGGGAGCAGGAGAGACCCAGGGTCCCCGAGCTCCCCGAGCTCCAGGTCTGCAGGGCGTCGTCCAAGCCTTGCTTGGCTCTATTCAATTCCCTCTGGAAAAGTACCTTCCCCACCCACAGTGGCTGCCAAGTGGTGGAGCCCGCGCCCTCGTGTGGGCAGAGAGCAGGGTGCTGGGGGAAAGTGGGATCGGTCTTCTTGAGCCCTGGGGAGGGCGTGGGGGGATGGAACCCACAGCTCTGGCCCTCACGGAGCCCTTCTTATGAGGAGGGAGATGGGACTTGGCTGCCCAGGGAATGTCAGCAGGGGATCTTTTGGCTCCAGCAATTGATTCCCACATAAAGCCCCTCGACTTTGTCTAAGACAAGCCTGCATGAGTCAAGGAAAGAAAGGCGACAAATAGAATTTGAACCCCGCACCTCCTCTTCCCTCTTTCAGGGGAAGACTTGGTGCAAAGAGGGAGGAGGAGCTGCTCAGGCCAGGCTCAGCCCCACGTTTCCGGAGAGCCCTAGTGTCTGGAGGGCCAAGAGGCCGAACACAGCCCACCTGCTAGATCAGCAGCATATGGTCCCCAGCTTCTGCTTCTCCACGGTAGTGGAGGGAATGGGCACATGGATTTTAAAAATAAAACAAACCCCAAGTAAATAGCAAAACTTTTTGTTGGCTTTAAGGGTGATTAAAAATTTTTTTTTTAATGTTTATTTATTTTTGAGAGAGAGAGAGAGAGAGAGAGAGAGAGCACAAGCAGAGAAGGGGCAGAGAGAGAGGCAGACACAGAATCCGAAGCAGGCTCCAGGCTCCAAGCTGTCAGCACAGACCCCATGCGGGGCTCCGGCCTCGAACTCACAGGACGTGAGATCAGTCGTCCTGCCGACTGAGCCACCTAGGCACCCCAATTTTTTTTTAAGATTTCAGTTTTAAGTAATCTTTACCCCCAACTTGGGGCTCAAACTCAACCCTGAGATGAACAGTCTCACACTCTACCGTCTGAACCAGCCATGCACCTGAGGGTATGATTTTAAAGGTTTTTAGGGGCCCCCGGGTGGCTCAGTCAAGCATCCGACTTCGGCTCAGGTCATGATCTCACAGTTCCGTTCGTGGATTAGAGCCCGACATGGGGCTCTGTGTTGACAGCTCAGAGCCTGGAGCCTGCTTCAGATTCTGTGTCTCCCTCTCTCCCTGCTCATGCTCTGTCTCTGTCTCAAAAATAAGTAAACATTAAAAAAAATTTTAAAGGTTTTTTTCTGGGGGGGGATGGTGGTGGGAGGAAGCAGTATTTCTAAAGGAATCTGGTAGGTGAAGACATTAAACATGGAATCGGGGGTGGAAATGAGCACGGACTGCTCATTTTTATCTTGTTTGCCTTTAATTGACCTAAAATTGAAGTAAGCCCTGTGTGCTCACTCGGTGGTGTGGGCGTCTGGGCTTAGAGGAGAGGGAGACGTTCAGAAGTGAGCCGGGGGCTTCATTCATGCTCGGTCCCTTTGCTGAGGCTGATCTGGGAAGTCCAGTTCACCTGCAGGTGGGACGGTGGGAGTGGCTGTGACCCCATTCCCGTAGCTGAGGCTCTTTCCCCCGTGGATGACCCCCTTCGACCTAGTCATCCTGACACCCTGAGGCTGAAACCACAGGGCAGCCCATTTTGTAAGCTGGGATGGGGCCAGGAAGAGGGTGCAGAACTGAGTCACAGGACGTAGCTCTGTTCTCTGTCCAACAAATCTGAAATTGTTAAAGATGATGCCACTTTACATTTGTGTAGCACTTTTACTTTTATAAGACACTTTTGTATCCGTTGTCTTTTGTGAGCCTCAGGTTTGTGTGTAGTATGTATTGTTAGCCCCATTTAATGGGTGAAAAGACTAAGTTACAGGTAACTAAGAGCCTCTACCTGGGGGTGCGGTCAGAGCTTGGCCGTCCCCCTCCCCTCAGTTCACTAGTGCGCATCTTATCATGACGTAGTTTGGCCATTTTTGCTTCATCTTTTTCTTTTACATGTTTTAATTGTGTACAAAATGATCTATGGAACACATCTAAGAAATAAGAATCGTGCGCAAAACCCTTGAGTTTAAG